AGAAGAGACAAAAAAACCATCTCTAATTGGTTGCATATCTCATTATTTTCATCAAAAATGAAACAAAAGTGAAGCAATAACTCAACTTTTGATCAATTAGAGATCAAAATGTACATACTATAGCTATAGATTGCCAAAGTAACATTGCAAGATTACTAGGCATGGAACTTAGAAGCTCCCAACAAATAAATAAACTAACAAATATTTGCCATTGGCCATCTTTATTCTAGCCAATGGCACAGGTTTCCTCTAGTATGTATGTATATATATATATATTTATATATATGAACTAATTATGACTAAATTTATGTATATACATATATATAAACTTAGTCGTAATTAGATTGAGTTATTTGTAAAGCATTCATATCAATGAAATGATTTTGTTGTAATTCAATTTTGAGGTTTTATTTGGAGATAGATATGATAGATTCATTACTTTAGTTTTACAAAAACATAAATATTTACCCTCAAAACTACTATTAATAATCCCCAAAATCATAAATATGAATGGTGGAACATAAAGAAGAACACACACTGTTAGTTGATTTGAATGAGCTTCCTACACATGTGCAGGATCAGAAAATGATTTCACAATTGTAAATATAAATGATGTAAAACATCATATATATATATATATATATATATATATATAAAATATATATATGTTTTGCACCAATAACATAATTCTGATTTATTGAAGTGACAGAAACAAAGGTTGCAGAAAGGAATTAATCAAAATCAAGTAGCTGGGTGAGGAGAACACTGCAAGGAGCACAGTTAGTTTCATTGTAACACACACCAATTCACCATTTTTCAGAAAAAGGCAACAGGACATGGAACATGAAGAACAATGACAACAAACAAACAAACCAAATTCTTCACATTCAAAACCCACTTCTTCTTCTTCTTTGTCTTCTTCTTCTCTATGCAAAGCTCAGAGCAATCATATTCCCATGGGCTGGCTTGTGACTTCACCATCTGCAAGGGCACAACCTGGTGGCACAACATGCAACATGAAGGACAACAAGGAAGAGAAAGAACCTCCTGGCAGAGAACAAGAGCAGAGAGAGTGAGCAAGCACATAGTGGAGCATGCAAGCTTCTGAAACCCTAAATGGTGTGGTGGAATGCATGCACACTCCCACACCCACACACTCACACCCACCCATGGGAGGGAGGGGGGACTGAGGCATGGCAGGGCCCAGAGGCCCATCAGAGGCAGGCAGGCAGGCAAGCAGGGGGTGCTATTCATTCAATGTGCTTCAATGTGACATCAATCTATCTCTCTGTCTATCTATGTATCTCTCTCTGTCTGCATGCATGTATGTATATTTATCTTTATATATATGTATGTTTATATCTGGGTTTTGTTTTTCCTTGGGCTGGGCTGGGTCATGGAGGCAGAAGCACCTTCTGTGCTGTGCTGTCCTCTGACCTGTCCTGGGAAGGGGGAGGGGGTTGGGGTGAACAGGGGCATGTCCCATTGCTGCACTGCACTGCTCTGCTCTGCTCTGCTCTCTCTGTCCTGCCCTTCCTTCCATCTCATTCTCTACTTACTCTTCTTTGTGTGGGATTTAGGGTTTTTTGGGGTTGAGTTAGGGTTTCAGAGTTTGAGGTATGTGGGTCAGGGCTCTCTCTTGGTGGTATCAAGAGTCAAATCCATGTTGCCATGCAAAGTGGGTGTTGCTTCCATGCTGTGCACCAGGTTTCTTCTTTTGCTTAGTCAAAAATATTAAAAGGTCTTGGTAAATTAAAAAGAAGTTAATTCAAAAGAAATTTGTACTGAAATTCTTTGAACAGCATAGATGAAATATTTTGTTGAAAACATACAAAGAAATTTATCTTTAAGTTTGGATATAGAAATTGAGAAGTTCAAATGATACTTTTGGTAAAATATGCAAGTATAGGCATCAACGAAGGTTAAATTGAAGTTATATAAAACAATGTCAAGTATGTTCTGAAGTTTTCATGATTGTCTCTCAGTTTCAAGTAGATCCTTCCATATATATATATATATGTTTATGTTTTTTAGTATCAAAATTTGACTAAGAAAATGCCAAAAGATTCTGTTACTTGTAGATAATTGGAATCTGAACTCAAAATATTAATATTTAATTTCAAGTTAATTTATGGGTTTTACTTAAAATATCTGTTGTGATACAACACAACAAAGGGATTGACCTGTAAAAGAATACATTTTTTCAACATTAGACACTGTCAAATACTTCAAAGAGGCTTTAGAAATCATGTTTTATCAACAAGAAATATAATATTGAAGAGATATTTGCAACAACAGATTCTCTTGCACATTTTGAATGACATTCATATTTTTAGGTTGTCACCAAATCTAAATTTAAACATCAAATATGTGAAAAGTTACTTACAGTAGTACTTGAGGTGTTTGTGTGTAGATAACTATTTCTTTTGACATCAAAAAATACTCCACTGAGTTAGTAATATATGGTTAAGTCAACATCCAAAAAATACTTAAATTGTTTCACATGCATGTTCTTGGACAATATTAACATCTGTGGTGGTACTATTTATTTTGATTTATTTTATTTTATGTTTACAGAAATATCTGGTTGTCAAACATGGGCAAAATTTATTATTACCTTCAGTCCACGAAAATGTTTGGCTATGGTCATTCTGATATTCTTTTCAAATATATTGTGTAAAAAGAGTGAAATTGATTACTCTAAGATATTAGTGCATTATTTAGTGCACTAAATTTACCCTACCATACCCACACATTTCTTAATATATTTACCCCAAAGAATATCACATGAATGTGGGTTTCTTATATTTAATTTAATTCATCATCTGTTATAATATGCTTTAACAATACCATCTGTAATCAACTATTTTTATTTTATTTTTTATCATTAACAATTTAAATCTCTTTGTATTTTTTGAAATCCTAAATATCACATCAAGATTTATTTATATTTTCAACACATTTGCAAATATTTTGAATAATTTTCCTGTTTAATTACTTATTTCAATTCTAAGGTAAACATCAAGCCATAGCAATATTTATGCACCTTAGCAAAACTTCATGAAGTTTTAGAGAGAAGACTTTGCATTGAGAAAAGACTGAGGACTCAGGACCCAGAGTGATGTGGAATATAGTACAATAGCACATAGAATAACAACAACAGCAATAAGAACATAGCCATGTCACTGTTCCACAATGTGTATGAGAAACAAGATCAATGGCCTTGGATTCACAAGACAAATGCCCTGAACAAGAAGAGTGCAACTATTCAGCTTTCACCACCCAGAATGCTAACATGTCAGTTTAGTACACAACCCACCCACCTGATCTTTGACGAGTAGCAAGTACTGGGTATTGTGTGGACTTATTGGTCTAGCCATTCAAAGACTCTCCTGCACAGCTCCTTGCTGATCCAGTACCTGCCAGAGCATGAAATTAGAAAAACAGAACCAATGTTGCAGGAGGTGGGGTATTTCCACAAGTCCTGCATTCTATTTATGACAAGTTCCAACACCCTCATGGTCTGAAATAGGTCTAGTGCTTGTTAAGTTTATAGCATTTCCAATCACAAAAAATTGTCGCATGATGGAGTGCATGTGTTCCAATTTAGGTGGCAGTTGTTGATTGGTTGGGGTAGAATTCAAGTTTAGCAGAAACTGGTTGAATTTTGGTTACCTCATTCACACATTATCCATAGGTAGCATGAAATTAGATGAAACTTAATAGCATAATTAGGTGAATCTTGCTAGCATAATTAAGTGCCACACTATTAATTATGCTATTAAGTGTGTGAAACACCTAAAATCCCCCCTATTTCTATTTCCCTACATGAGGATATTTTTCTTTCATTTTTACACTTACTGCATATGTGCTGAAATGCTTGTCGGAAATAGGTCAGCTACATTAGCACCCTACTCTCCACATTCATCTCATGCTGCTGCTTATTGGAATATGTAGAGAAGAAGAAGAAAAAAAAGATTCCATCCTCTCATTCTGATTTCAATAACAGCTTGTGTCCTATGGCATGGACCGGAATTGAGGCTTAGAGCGATTGATGGCATGTCAGGCATGCAACGTGCAATATAGACATTGTCCTGGATAGGCGAATAGAGTTGGCCTGCCTGGTTCTCACCATCCACTTGGCACATGCACTGGTTCAACGAGAAGGGTGCTAGAAGTATTTCTTTCAGGAGAACGATAGGAGGTGGTGGATTGCAGAGCCTCCACATTGGTAGTGCTCCACTTGTGCGTTTGGAGTCACAAGAATTGAGCTCCGCATGCAGTTACCAGACAGACGTTCTAGTGGGTCGGATACCAGGTTGCGATGCTTGTGAAGTGGTACTCTCCGTAGGAAAAAAAAAAAAAAAAAAAAAAAAAAAAGGCTCTTGACAAATTAACAAGCCGAAGCCTTCTAATTTCGACGGTCAGAATCTGAGGGAAAAAGTTACCGTCTCCATGTTCCCATCCATAAGATGATGTTAGCTTCATTGACAGATTCATCTAGGTCTGGGATTGCACATCCGGTGTAAAAATTAAATGGAAGCTGAGTCCTTCAGGAAGTCTGATCATTGTTTCAGAGGCGTCACTAAGATCGGATTAATGCACAGCACTTTTTGTATACGGTACTAACTTGCATCTTACTACAAACAATGTACAGAGCATGCTGGATTGCATGGGAGTGAGCCACGGAATGCTTCCGCTCACCCCTGTGAATTTTTACATCCAATGACACGCACAACTCAGAAAACTAGGTGTGTGAAGAGTTAACACCTACCACTTAATAAAGCCATTTCACCCTTTGATTTAGAGCTACGATGTGAAACATAGAACGTGCTCCCAACCTTCGAGAACTTTAAATGCTTCCATGTAGCATGTTTGGGCTTACCAGACTCTTCGACAAACCTCAACTCCAAAATACTGTTGATATGTACAGAATCATCCAATTTGCACAAGCATAACAGTGTCCAATAAACAACAATGAGGACCAAAGTACAATTCAATCAAAAGATAATGAAACTAAAGACTTTACTTCAATGAAAACGTTCACCTTGCATACTTTGAACATATTGCAAATATCAGGGTACATTCTGGAACAAAATCAAGACTATTTTTGTTCCAAGAAGAACCATCACACTAACTTCGACAATGAAGCATAATCTTGGAATTCACACTACAGGTACGAATGAAGATTGAAGCTTTGAATCCCCCTAAGCATTTGAGGCTCAAGTAATTTTTTTTGAGAATATGATATGCATCAAGGAACAAACTAAACTAGGGTTCTCGAGATTAAAATTCCTTTGAATCTTGGGTCCCCACATAAAAGATAATACCATCTTCTAAAAAGAAGGATTCTTCCGATGGCACTACGGAGTCGTAAAGCATGTGGGCTTCGATCTCATCAGACACAATGATTTGAAGAACTGCCTCAAATCCCTGCGTGAAAGAAAGTAACCAGTTAGTCGACTAAAAAATTATAGAAAACATTTTGAAATGGTGCTGAAAACGGCGACCAGAAATATTGTATGCCAGTTTAGTTCTGAATCAATCGGACTGTATATTGCATCAAGCAAAACATAATTCCAGCTCAAACGTAAATTTCATCATCGTACAAGAACAAACCCGTAGACCTTCGTCACCGCTGCATCTTTGTACTTGAAAAAAGCCAAAATTACTGGTCGGGTGCTTCGGATCTTTAGAGCAGAAAAAAGAAGAAGAAGGGGGACCTCTTTCCTTGTTAGATTGGACATGAATTGCTCCTGTACAAATAACATGTCAGAAAAAAGCTGAATTCTTGTATGTACAGTTCTTTTACCAGAGTATTTGCAAAAAAAACACAAGTCTGAAAACAACAAAAAGAATCGGTAACAATCCTTTCAGGCTTTTCTCACCAAACATAACGATCTTGTAATTGATCATACTATGATCCTGCTCATCCAATGGCGTAGACAATTGGATGCAGATAACACATGCTCGCGTCCAGCCATGATTGTGACACACCGTCAGCCAGTGGCCGGCTGATTTGTCACACATCGGGACGCAAGCCCAACCTAAGATGCTCGCCCTAATCTGACAGCTCTGTACATTGAAAACTGCATTTCAAGCGTTGTAGAAGCTCGGTATGAATGACGCAGCACCGGAAGCATACTCATTCAAGCACTGGTCAGAGGAAACTTGGTTCAAATATCATGTGAGATCTGCAGGGGCCTCTTCATCCGAATCAAACTCCACCTGCATCTCCACACACTCAAGTTTCAGATAACCCAAGACAGAAATGAAAACCATATAGCCACATTGGAGAATCAATCCTCAGTCTCCACAAAGATTAGATGTGGTAAACAGACTTCAAACCTAGCTTCGTGACTTACTTAGAACTATACTTGACGCAAAAAAATCGTGTCATTTATTCGGAGTCTTCCAAATAAATCGTTAAATTCATTGTCATAGCTGTTTAGAGGTGTTCAAGTCCTCATTATAGCGAATAAAATGCAGAAACGATACTGATGCATACATTTTCATCTTTAAACCATTTGCCATTGCCATCCAGCCGCCAACCAGCTTCCCTCAGTCGTAGTAATCGCTCTCGCTCTTGTCGACGCTCTTGGCCCTCTTTTATACCAACCGTCGGTCCTGATTCCAGCTGTCCTGCCTTTCGTTTGCCCAAAACTTTTTGATGCCCACTTTCATGTGCAGATGATGGTTTCACTTTGACGGGAGGAATGGAAACTTGTAAGGACGTTGGTGACAAAAACGGCGTGCCTTGGTCAATTATCAGTTTCGTGTTAGGCACATCTCCTACTCTGCTAGGGTAACACACCACCTTGGATCCATCCAGCATTGCAAGTGCTTGAGCTGTGCACTTGCGAGTAGCTTGTATTAGAGGGGCACAAGCTTGAGAAGTGGACTGGCGATTCTGTGAACTGCGAACAGTATCTGTCACCTTATTAGCTTCAAGTGCTATTCTCTTCTGAATCTCATTTTGCAGACGAAGATCCTTCTCCTCGTGCTTTACCGCAGCTGCTTGATGTTTTGCACCTTTTCTATGCATCTGTTGAACATCATAGAAATGCGATAATTAACTAATACATACACTCGCGCAGGATTACTTAAATTTCATAATTATTACTTCTCAAGCTAGTGCAATTCATTTTCCACTACACATGTATTTCATCAATTGTGTGACGAAAAGCCCGATCAGTATGCGTTCCCCTCGTGAAACCCATTTTCACAGAGCAAACAGACGAGAAGACTTGCAAGCCGTAAGATGCAGATCAACAAAAGCTCTAAACCCTAACCCTAATTTCTCTCAGCACTCTACATCGATGAATTCGTATGAAAAGAAGTTGAACATCAAGCGACGCACAAAACTCATTGAACCACTCCTTTCACGTACAAAACCCTACGTCCAAATACATGGTTATCATTCTCAAAAAGGCTACGACATTAACAATGCGACGACAGCACAATGTGATCAAGTCCGGCTTACAATTAGCATTGGAAACGTGTCGAGAACGGGATGGTGTGGGCAAATGAGGCAGGCGAAACGTCCGTTAGACAAGTGGCGCCACTGGTTGGAGTACCGATCCAACTGATGGACATCGCCAAGCAATTGATCCACTTGGTGCTTGCGATGCATAGCTTCCGGCACCCAACTGTCCCCCCCATACGTACTCATCTCTCCAAGAACCTACCAAAAAGATGAAGACCTCCAGATTCTCCACACTCTTTGATGCTGATCGTATCCTGGGCAATTCAGACCAGCCCAACTCGTTCAGTCTCTCTCTCTCTCTCTCTCTCTCTCTGTGACGAATTTGTTCACGAGAAAACGAATACAACAAACCCTAAAATCCTCCTCCTCGTTGCTTCCAAGCCAAGGGTGACAAACATCATCTCCTAACGACAGACAGGAAGGATACGATCCATCCATCACGGAATTGCTCTCAGAAGTTCGCGGTGCACTCATCCCACCCTCTCTCCTGCGAATTTGAAAGCCTCGCCATCCTAACCGACACCGACACCCACACTAGTTATATATGTATATACTAGTATGGCCTGTGTGTGCTCCCGGTACACCCAGCTGTCCTCAAAGAAAATTCTATTTTCTTTGTTTTATTTCAAATCAACAAAAACCATTACATTGAATTGGTAATTTTGAATCTATCAAACTGATCTTTTTTTTCAATGTATGGTGTAAGGGGAAAAAACATGTTATTTTGTTCTAATTTTTACAGTAGAGATGGTTGTTTGATTATCCCTGCCTTTGTTTTTGTTTTATTTCTTTTGTACGAATTGTTTTAGTATCTGGGATGATCCGTTATGTTATAATGAATTACATATATAGATTAGCTTTGATATCACAAATAGACAATGTTTTATTGTATGTGTAGATATACGTGAGAGTAATAAATTTTGAATTGAAATTTTTGTGCTTGTAATTTTTTAACAGCAATTATCTTATTGGCAATAATTCTTATTCCACAACAAATAAATAAGTATATATATATATAATTATTGGTCGTAGGTAGAAAGTACTAATTTAGATGCATTGCATGAAAACTCATGGAAATAAAATTCAGCTTTTCAAATTTTACTTATCAATTTTATCAAATTTTTCTTGTATTTGACAAGTTGTTATTTGAAATAATCTTATACAATTTGAGTTTAAACATATTTATGTACTAAATAATTCTTTAAAAAAATAGTATTTGTAAAAATATTTTTAAATATTTTATAAAGTAGATAATAATATTTAATATAATTTTAAATCAAATCATTTCATATTATATATATATATATATATTTATATAGATACAATAAATATTTTAAATTCTTATAATATAATATTTAGTAAGAACGTAAGAAAAAAATACAAAAATTGAGTAGACTTTGTTTTCATATGTTTTAATATGAATAGACCATATTTATATAATAAATTAAGATAGAAAAAAAATATGGAAAAATAAGCAAGTGTCTTGATTAGCTAAGAGGTTTGCATTTGCCTTTAATGAGGTCTAGATGGAATTGAACTTTAAGAACTTCATGTCGAAGTTGCTGCATTTGATATTTAAAAACTTAAACATTTGTTGGTGATGTGTTGAATACTATATGCACTATTATTCATATCTTACGTTTTTCTATGTATAAATCATGCATATAAGTAATAGATATATGTAAGTATATGAATGTTGCACTAAATTGTAATGTTAATGATATTTTTGGTTTATTATAAAGATACAATGTTACTTATATAACATGGTTATGACAATGATGAACTAAGAATAGGATAGCAATAATTGATATGTATAGGGTTTAAGCATGCAATTTCTTTTGCTTAAACTATTATAATAAGTTCTATTATATTTACATATGTCACTTCATATAATTCATTTTTAATGTTGTATGTAAATATTGTGTTTTGTTTTATTTATGTTTTAACTCTTTTAATTTTGCATAATAAAAATAAAAATTAAATAAACAACTTACTCCATACTACTTTTCCTATTTTTTTTATCATTAATAATTTTTTATAAACTAATCTATTTATTTAAAAATATAAAAAGAGACAAATGCTAGTCTTAGCCATCAATTAAGTATTGTATGTCTTGGCTATTATATAATATATTTATTAGTAGTTTGATACACATTATATATAGGAGAGTTTTAGATGGAGAACCGTAATTCTTGTTATGATCATTTGAACGATAGTGATAAGAGGGTCTTGATAGGCATCCTAGAATTAAATAGATTAAAAAATACAAAATAATATTAACAATGTTCTTTTTAGAAGATCTTATTTGGAAAGTTTTGGTTTAAGATGTACTCTGAATTGGATTAATGAATTATCTGATTAATTTTTGGATTTATTATTATTATTATTATTATTAAATATCCATCAATTTATTACTTAAATTAGTACAAAATCAAATTGTGCAACACTGCTAATTGATACTGAACTACAGTCAAACTATGAAAAAGAAAAAAACAAACCAACAAGCGATTTGTTTATTTATTTATTTATTGATGTTATATCACAGTTGTCACTAAATTATCATGCGAAGTTTCTATGCAATTTTTTTTTAATCATGGCCTTGTACAACTGGGTATATCACAAAGCATGCTTTGAAAATAAATGTAAAAGTTGGCTAAAGAAATATTTTAAAATTTTCATTCTTCTTTTTCTTACTTTTAGTTACTGTATGATATGAATGGGAAGAATTCGATTTTAGCAAAGCCAGTTGGATTTAGAAAGCTAACTTATCAACCACGATTCTAAATTCTAAAAAAATAAATTTCCAAACCAATACGTCCAATCCTAATTCTAAGGCCTTTGTCTTTCAACATTCTAAACCATTGGCTTTGAAACATGTTTGTCAATGGATATGGGCCTTCAATGGTCAAGGACTGGAATGTCTTGCAGGAAAATGTCAAGTTGCAAAATGCCTTCCACAAATGTGATGTAGAAATATGGATCCCAATTGTGGAGAGGAATGACAATGAATTAGTGTTTGATAGTCTGGGGGATGAAGGAATTTTGAATCCAGCCCAGTGACCGTGGCCCTCGTCGGCTCTGGGCTGGTCTCGGTGTGTCCCCGTCTGTTTGAAGCTGTGATTTGTTTTGTGAGAGGGGTCAGACGCAGTTTTCGTAGTGGTGTCGCAGCTCTGGCGTGGCGATGGCGGGGACGACCTTGGTGCCCCCTGGGCGGCAACACAAGCGCACCGTGTCCGACCAGCAGAAGCGCCGAGAGCTTGCCTTGCAGCGCCAGAAGCAAGGGCGTCGTGACTTACAACACCATGCCCGCCAGCTTGCCCTCAGCGCTCTGAACGAAGTTGGTGACGTTAGCGGAGAGCAGGAAGAGGAGCCTGCAGTGTATGAGGTGGGGGATAGGATTTAAAAAATGTTCTTAAGTGAAAGTGTGTCTGGATTTTCGACTACCGTATTCACTGTGTGGATTGGTTTTAAATTTTTTTCCTAGAAGTGTGTGACTTGAATGTTGAGGTTTGCGATCGCGCAATTTGTATCGTGTTCAATGAGATTCGAAGGCGCAGGTGCATATTTCTGGTCGAGTGTTAGTTCGATCAACAAGGGCTGTTGAATTGTGGAGCGTTCCGTTGACTTTTACCTCAGTTGTTGCATTTCTGATTTTCGGGATTTTCAACTGCTTGACTCAGTTTCTCTCCTGCTCATGTGCATCATTCTTCATGCGGGAATGTAGCTCAATGTTCCACGCGCAGCATCAGAAAACGTGGCGGCTGATTACAACGAACAAGATGATACAGAGGTCAGCCGACCTAATTTTCATATTGGTGATGTTATTGCATTCGCTCATTTTTTGCAATTCTTTATTTAGTAACCATCACAGTAGCAGAAAAAGTTTTTTCTGCAAATTTAAATGAGAATTCAAGTCCTCAACTTGTAGGCCAAGCAGTTTTCTCTTATGGTTTTGAATCATCTCGAACCAAGTTTTAAGGTAGATATTCTTCCGTGCTCATGGTGATTCAATTCAACTTATCATCGGTAAACCAGTCACTGGTATTGATGCTCAGCAGATCAAGCTTTTAATCTGTAGTTGAGTACAATGTTAAATTTAACTTGGCAGAATACTTATATAGCTCGCCAAATACGTAAGTGAGAGTTGTTCTTATATTTCGAACACACTCGTTTGAAAGTATGGTCCAGATACCTGAGGGTCACCAAAGCGTTAATTACTTCGCCGCTGTTTGCCTCGATGATTTTGAGATTAAATACCTCCGTGTTTGGCCTTCAGATCCTAACATGTAGTCGTTTCATACGCTAATCCAGTCTTTGCATAACTTTTTAAGTATGATATACAGGCGAGTATGGAAGATGCAGAACGCAGCCCAGGGAGTAAGCGCAAAACACTGTTAGAAGGCGCAAATCTGAAGGGGTTAAGAGCGAGAGAGTTCTTTGCTCGACAGTTGATGTTACCCGAGTGGATGGTGGATATCCCCTCTTATCTTAAAAAGGATTGGTAATAGATTTGATTCTCTACGCCTTTTCATAGTTATCATAGCACATTAACATCATATATGTGTGTCATCGCACCAACTAGCCATTACGACGTCTGTCACATGCAATGAGTCCATTAGGTTGATTCTCAAATAAGGGCAGTTCGAGGTTCTGGTTATGTTGAATATCTCTCAACAATCCGTCGAACGTCGTTAGAAAGCATCAATAACTTATGATCGAGTGGGAAACCTTCTGTTAACGTCGTTAAGTATGTTGGGCCTGACTCATGGTAGTATGTGAATCAGTGTTCATAACATGTGGGTTCTGATTGTTGTGTAGATACGCTAGACTTACTGCTCGCATTTGCCTTTGTGATTCTGGGGTATACGAAATCATAGGATTGGTTAGTCTTATTTCCTTACGTCAAGATTTCTCCGCTGACATTTATACCTATCTCAAATTTCAGGTTCGTTATGCCAAGGCCAGAAGGCCAGCGGTGTCTTGTTATATCAGCCAATGGCATTACTCTGAGTCGTCAGCGAAATGGTCGAATCTTGCATTCCTTCCCTTCTGCCTTACCCAATGGTGCTCGAACGAAGGAAGTGGCGGCAGGATCCCATGTGTACTGTATCCTGGACTGCATCTTCCATGAGGTACATCTCAATTAGCAAGCTGCGATTTCGCCACAACTGAATTCTTAAAAAAGCTTTCCATCTATGACAATTTGTATCTTTACATTATGGGTGTCTGCTTGATGCTGGAGTGCACATTGAACAAATTAGTCTGTTGTGATTCTATGTCCGTACAACATTTGGTCCAGAAGTTGAAAAATTTGATTAGTATTCAGGACGTGTAAATGAAGTTACTGTCTGTTAGGTGCTGGTTAGTCACTGGAGATTGACATTATTTCTTTCCGAATGATATTGACACAAAAGGAACAATGCTTATCTTTTTCTGATAATCACGGTTGTTTTTTGGGGGTGTGTTTCTTGCTTTGACAGCCTGATAAAACGTACTATGTCATCGACATGATGTGCTGGCGTGGCTACTCGCTGTTCGATTGTACTGCAGAGTTTCGATTCTTCTGGATGACTACTAAATTGGCTGAAACTGGGGCTCTTGGTGCTCCATCTGCTCATCATCACTACCAATTCAGTGTTGTCCCTGTTTATGAGTGCAACGTAGCTGCCTTACAAGCAGTTTACAGTGGGCCAGTACCGTTCCAAAGAGATGGAATACTCTTTTATAACAGGTTAACAATTTTTTGTGCTGGTCAAACATCCTCGTGTACTAGCTAATAAGATTGTAGATTCTTCAATTTTTATTTAATTGATTTTAAAATAAATAGTTAAGAAAGATTCTTTATATATATATATATACGCTCAAGTTATCTTCGTTGCTATGATTTGCTTATTATCTTATCTTACAGCTGTACATCTCTGTTTGACAGACATGCGCTTTATGAACTAGGTCTCACGCCATTGGTGGTCGTATGGAAAGATGCTCAATGTAGCCAGTATTTGTTAGACACTGATAGCCAGGGAAATGTGCCTACTTATCAGCAGGTGCGGAAAATGCTTCACTTAATCGAACAGCTTCCTAATTAAATTGCTCAATATTACCTCTTGTTAGGCTATGCTGTTGGTTCCTTCTAGCTCAAATGAATTTATTCTTTATGCACAGTTTCCTCTATTTTTAGTTCTATTTTCTCTTGCTTTGTACATGTCATTCCATTCTTCATGTAATGGCCTGTATTACATTTTGTGTGTTTTCAGGGTTCACAGCTTTTCCTCTTGATTATTTCATAACGTCGTTATTGTCTTGTATGATGTGATCACGCAGTAATCAGTTGCCAGCGTCTAGTTTTTATTGTGCGCACTTGGTCATAGCTGTGTTGTGGTTATTGCAGGTGGTGCTAGAATTGAGGAGTGATGGCTCTGTAGTCACTTGTGATGACCCGCCTGTGATTTTTGGAACACTCGCTCCTGAGTTTCTTGAGCAGGTGAATTCTTTTTCTTTTTCTTCTTCTCCTCCTTCTCCATCATTAGATAAATTTTAACTCATTCCTAGAGCCGTGTTACTTGAACACTAAGCTGATAAGTTTTCTTTTGATGCAACCAGAATGCTCGACACCTGAAGCCTGGAATGCTTATACGATTTGCGATTGGCGATCAGGGACTGAGCTTGGTAGAGGGGAAACCTGTAGTTGCTGACATTCATTTTGAAGGCATTGCAAATAAGAATCGGGCACGTCGTGCAGATAGCTGCACAAAGGTATATCTTTGGGAGGTCTAAAACAGAGGAAGTAGCTGTTCCAATGTTATATCCAGATTGACTGTCCTTTGTTTATGTCATATTTTATCCCTTTTTTGGTGCATGGTGTTTCCAAATATTTGAGTTCATTTCGTTTCAATCATAGTCTCTTACCTGGTGGCGCGCAAGTGATTGTGTGCTCATTTAGAGTTGTGTGAAAGCTTGCCGAAGTCTAAATATTATCTTCAGTTCGGATTCCAACTACCTTAATCCCAAAATAATTACTATTATTTGATAACCCGCCAAGAGCACAGTTTTCTGTGCTTTCTAAGCATGCTCTAGTTATTGAATTCCTTCAGAGACTCGTGTTCTTGAAGATTGTGTGTAATTAAACTCGTTCCAATTCGCTGCATTTGTTGCTGTGAGATAACTTATCACGCACGGTGTGTGCATTGTAACTGGGCTACAGATTCTCTTCCAGTATGCTGCCCGACATGGTGCATTGACAATAAACGACATAGTAGCGGCCATTGAAACCTCCGATGAGGAAGGCGACACATCTATGGGCTAGATCGAAGACCAGACAGTTATGGTGAGTATCAAGAAAAAAATTCTCGCTTAAACAGAAGGCCTCACAAGGAGAAGCGAGTGAAGTTTCTGGGAGTTTTTTTTTTTTTTTTTTTTTTTTTTTTTTTTTCTTCATAATCATCGTGATCTTCGTATACAGAAAGAGCTGCGCCATTGATAGGATTTATGCTCGGCGGTGAGATTCCGATCATTCTGCCCACTTCGACTTTAGGTTCGCCGTGATTTCAGTGAAATATCACACAAGTCATGCCAAATGTTCCACGAGGACTATTTTAGTTGTGATGCTAGTAATTTTATGAAATGCAGTATTTCAAGGACGCTTGACAGAAAGCACACATTTGTTGTGGCCATTACTCAGTTTGAGCCTTGGTGTCTGTGTTGGCAGGTTATGCGCGAAGAGTTATCATGCACATAGTCTGCCTACAGCAGATCAAGGTTTCGCATTGTATTATAGCGTGCTAACTTTCAAATAGATTGAAGCAGCACACTTGAAATTAGAACTCTTAGATAGATTTTGCATTTTAGACGCATCCTTTTAATTGAGGATCTTCTGATTGTGTGAATCTGGAATATTACGACCTGCTAATGCTATAGCTTTAAGTAGAAAATTCGAAGTCCTTAAATGTATGCTAGGTTCAGAAAGATGCGCCAACAGTAGATTGGTATATGGTTGAATTGTATTTGGTGGCATGACATTCTGATGTCAGGTTCATCCTGATGCAAAGCATATATTTCGAAATGTGAAGAACGTGTGTCGAGGTATATGACGTGATGCCCGTTCAATGTACCAGTATTAAAAAGAACTGTTTTTTTCTGTGATTCCTATGACATGGAAAAGTAAAATGTGAAATTGGGGGCTTTCTCTTATTATATTTTCTCATGAGTTCAATCATTCATGGAGCAGTACTTTGACTATGAAATACTTGTGGGATTCTTGCCGAAGGGATGAAACTTCCGCATTTGTAAGAGCCTTCGCTCCTGAGTGCCACTCATTGTCACTCAACATTCCTAACTTGAAACCTGAGAAGAAGTTCCTAACATGGATAGAACAGTGTACATAGCATTGCCATCTTGATTGACATATTTGACTGCAGATTGACATGTTTGACTATCTTGTGTATTGCTCAACTTCGATTCTAACCCAGATGGAACTCTAAGCCAAAGTGAATGGCAAACTTGTTGATACTGGATTGACACTGGATATTTAGGGTCTAAATGTCGGGAAACTTTCATTTATGATTCCATAATATCAAGTCATAGAATCAGAGGCAACTCCGCTTACCAGAAACGACAACACTGAGTTTTCCGTAAACGTTATTACATGGATTTTACCTCCTTGCGGCGGAAACAGGGACACTTTTCGTTGTCCATTCTCGACAAACGACATGAAACATCCAGCAAGTCGTCGAAGCAATCACTGAAGTTCAGGTCGAACTAGTCGCATCATCGCAATATCATTCTGGCTTTCATTTAAGCCTCCTGTTACCAAACAACCGCACGGGCGTGGCAAGTTCACGCTAAAACATCGACAGCATTTGCAGCTCGGCACCGTAAATAAGTCTATTTTTCCAACAAGAAAGTGAATGGAAAACACAGATCAGTCGAGGGTTTCACATTGTTGTGCGCAGAGGCATTCCGTGGCGGGCGGAGGGGCAAATGGACAGTAGATAGGCTATGACCTACATCGATGGAACCCTTTGCAAAGAGTAACGGTAAAAAGAGCTCGAGACTCATCGGGAAGGTAGAAATGCATCATAATGGAGCATCGAAAGCGAGAGGCCTAGTTTAGAAGGAGGGGCAGGAAATGAGGTAGAAGCGGTGGGCGGAATCGATCGCTTTAGCACGCAAGGATGAAGGAGCGGGTGCCTATTTTTTCTCTCAGCAGCCCTGATTTGGGTCACGTTGCCAGCCAGGTAACAGGCTTGCGCCCTCCAAAATAATGCCTGCCGCCCATCCTCCCCCGCCGCGATCATCGCCTCCGCCCTCCCGCACGCCTTTACTAGTCGTCCCCTACCCCCTCGCTCCATCCTCTTCTTCTACTTCTTCATCCTACGCCTCCCTAGTGCTGGTGTTCATGTGGTGATGCACAGACACTGTGCGGGGGTCGCCATGGGCCCTCCACCTCCTCCTCGTCGTCCTCGGCTGTGCTTCGCAGGAGGACGAGGAGGGGAAGAAGAAGAGACGGTGATGGTGGTGGTGGTGCTCTTCGCAGTCGGGGAATGTGCACATTTTCTTCCTTGTTTCTTCGTCCCTTCTCCTCCCCCCAATCTTCCTTTTATTGTGGTAAGTGGAATTAGAGGCTAGTGTTTAGGGTTAGGGTTAGCAACACATGCCAACAAAAATTACAATGCCTGTGACACAACATCATTACTGCATATGACAACAACAAGAAGGTAGAGAGGATAAACCTTGGTTGGTTGTAGTGGACTAATCTTACTAAAATGAAGTCAATCTCAATTTAATTGACTTTCTTTCAACTGGTTGTTACTTAAATCAAGATAAAATTTTCAAAACAATGCAGTCGAAATTTATTAAAAAAAGTTATGCTTCTAAGTTGAATCCAAAACAACACTCTTGTATAAATCTCTACAATGGTTCTAGGGTCTAAAATTAATAAATGTTTCTAATTTTAGATAGTAATTGAATTAGGCATAAGCTAGTTGTCATATAATTTTATTTATTTTAAAGTTAACGTTTGAGTGGTATTATTTGTTTAAAAGTAAATATTATAGTTATTAGCAATGCATAAATATTATTAAAACTAAGTTATTATAATAATTGTAATGAAGTGCTATAATTAGTTGACATAATTGATTACATTCATAGACACTCAATTAAAAATAGAATTGAAATTCTTCTAAATGTCAAATGCATTAAATTACTAAATGTGGGATTTGTTGAATTTATTTTTTTTACTACAAAAGATGTGGTGATTTAGAAACCAAACCTATATAATAATAAGAAAAAAATGCCAAAAGCATTTGTCTCTTGATTATTATTATTTTTAAAATAATAATAGTAAAAATAAAAGACATCAGATTTTAAATAAGAAGATGTAAATATCTATTTCATTAAACATGCAATTTAGGTTGCAAAATTCAAAACATATTTAAGTTTCAATCTACACTTAAAATTTCTAAACAAATACCAAAATTAACCAAATTTTTAGATGAATTTTAAGTTTTTAAAATTTATTCTTTAAATTGACCACTTCTATAGGTTAATTGATATGCCATATTACTAATAGATCCATATTATTTTGAAAAGTCAATACTATATAACTTAACTTCTTTTGCTACAATTTTTTATTAATTTTGTATGTCATTCATATAATTTAAATATATCCAAGGTTTGTATATGGTACAAAAAATTTATTTTTAGTAAATTTTAAAACAATTCATACTATAATCTAATATTTCTACATTAGTTCTTAAACCTTGTTTATATAATCATAAGTCCAAAATATTGTATATATGTTTATTTTGAAAATATATTTAATAAAATACACTTTTTTTTATAAAAGTAATTATTATGTACTAAAAAATCACTTGTTTAATTTATTTAATTTTAAAAAATAAAATCAATTAAATATATATATATATATATATATATATATATAGAGAGAGAGAGAGAGAGAGAGAGAGAGAGAGAGAATAGAATATGTTAAAAATCCAAATAATATATTTAAATAAATACTTAAAATTAAGACGACTATGTTCAAAATCAATTATTAAATATTAAATTTTAATATATATATATATATATATATATATATATATATATAGATAAACTTTATGTGAATTTAACAAAATTTCATTGAACAATTTAACTTAATAAAATTAATTCTTAAATAGTATATTTGAAGTTTTTTGTCTATTCAATTTCAAATAATACTTTTAAAGATTGCAAAATAAATTTAGGACACAAATATTTTGAGATCTCCCTTGATAAAATTGATGATTTCATTAAAGTTCCTATAGGCATGCCCATCAAGCTCTCCACACTAGCACCACACTTGCACCACACCTATTTAACACCCTTTTCAAAAGAAACATACAAAATTGGATTGTTTGTGCTTAGACAAACATGAAAAGCCATTCTAGAAAAAATACAAATATAAAGGAGATAAGTAACAAACAAGTAGGATTGCAATGTGGCAAGATTGTAGAAAGAGAAGATTCCAATTAGGTCATTAATTTGATCACAAGAGATATCAACATATCCAAGGGGGGCTACCAAAATATTTGTGTCTTATATATATATATATATACATATTGTACTAATATACGTATTGTATACAATATACAATATACAATATATATATATATATATATATATATATATATATATTGTATTAAAAGTTGATATATCATTAGTATAAATATTTTTATATATTTTTTATTAAAGTATTATTACTTAAATATAAATGTTAACATACATAAAATATTATTTCTTTTAATAAACATCATCCTTTGTAAAAAAAAGTATGAATATTACAGGGTATTATTAAGCATTATAGACAAGATGGAAATCATTCTTGCTAAGGCTTTACAATCTAAGTTGCTGGCTTTTGCTCTAGCAACAAGGTGGTCTCTGTTAATTACTGTTGTTAATTGATAAAAACAATTGAAAGTTAATTTAGTATTAGAAATTATTAATTATTAATTATGCACCATATAATAGACTCAATTTCTAAAATTTTGATTGATTATTGAGATGTATTAGTTCTTGGAGGATTAATTATTGAGGAGAACATTGTATGTGTTTACATATATATATATATATATATATATATATATTACAATACATTTAAAAAATAAAAAAATAAAAAAACTGATAACTTTTTAAAATACTAAAATTGTCTATTTAAAACTAATGACAAGGAACATATATATATATATATATATATATATATCAACCAAAGAATAAAGACATATTTAATAAAAATTCACAAGAAGAAAGATTGTTCAAGATAGTATTGTACAATTCCTAACTTGAAACCATTTTTTAATACTATTTTTTTTAAAAAAAAATCCTAATATGTTAAAAGAATAAAATACATTCAAAATAGTTTTAGAATATTTCTGGATACACATCTATTTTTAATTTTCTTAATTTTTTTTAAAAATTGAATATTATATGGTAAGTACAATAGGAAAAATATATAACTTTTAATTTGGTATTTAGAGATAAAAGTGTTACATAAATATTTCATATTTATCTATTTTTATTTTATTTTATTACATGAATTATTATTCATAAAAAAAATCTTTTAACTTAATTAATAATATTTGTCTACAACAAATAGAAATAAATAAGAGAACATGGTTAAGTAATAACATAAAACTGGATATTTTAAGCACTTCAAAAGTATGAAATAGTGGTCATTTAACACTAAATATATCAAAATAATCTCACAAAGTTCAACTTAAGTAAATTATTTTGATACAAACATAAACTAATTTTAATATTTCTTAATTTGAATATTATTTTGATTGAAACTGAATATCAAATCCATGTATGTCAACCTTATAAACTTAGTGCATGTTGTAAGTCGCCTATATATGGTTTGACTATCAGTAATACTTGACAATATATTCCATTCGATTTTATTGTAATCTTGCACAGTTCAATCTTTTAACCCAGTAGAAGGCATACAGTACAGGAGATTCATTTAAAGTAGTAACAATTACATATACAATTGTGTGTTTTCTCAACAATTATTAATCATTACTTATTTTTTAAATGTATACCTTTAGTATCTCAAAAAGCCAAATATGAGGTCTATATGTGCAGTAAAGTAATATATATATATATATATATACACTTTATAGCATGTTCTTTAAAGTGTTAAAAATTTGACTTTGGGGGTCTTTGAGGAAACGTGTGCAATGAAAACATTGAAATGAATTGTTTTAGAGGCATTAATTACTTTTTAAAATTCTATGCCACACAATTATAGTTATGGATTTATTTAGTTCCATGCGAAATAATAATAGTAAATCGTAATGATATATATATATATATATATATATATCAACGTTTTCATTGTGGATGGACCCCCCCCCCACCACCACCTCACATGTGCCACCTGTACCATAATCAGCCCTCACATTAATGTGAACCAGGCCTATTTTAAACACTGAGTTCTGAATGTAACAGTTCTTTTCACCTTTCACACAATTCATTTTCATTAAGTCATAATTTAGTTGCATTTAGATTTTAACCACTACACAGTCAACCACTACTAGAAAAAACTTAGAATAAAAATATTCAGCACCTGCACCTAGTCTAATAAAAGAAGTTGTGTACACACTTTCCACACTTCGTGTCTGGACTCATGTTTCAGAATTTCTCCCAATATCCATCCATCTTCTTTACACTGCCGCATAACAAAAGGAAATCGAGAAAGATGTGCATATTCACTACCATGTTTAGCGCATTTTGCAGCACCTTCAAGGGAAATCTGCAGACCCTAGGCAACGGATCCCAATTCGACACCAGCATTGTTGATGCTATATGGCAAAAGGCAGGAGCAGAAATATGTAAAATTTGGCATGTATGTATACATATATGTATATGGTGGGGGTGGGGGGAGGCTTCCGCTTTGGCAGGCTTGGGGATCAGGTGGGTGCGGCATCCACATCGACGACGACCCCGTCGTAGCCCCTATCCGCACTGCGACACTGCCGAACACTCGTCTCAAAAGCAACGGGTTTCAGCTCTAGCATCACTCAGATCACGATATCCCAGGCATGCGTATTCCTCAATTTTAACCTAAAAGAAAAGAAAATAATGATAATAATAAAGACAAAACAAAACCAAAAAGCCACGCTTGAGCCAATGCTGTTGCTCCTGCTGTTGCTATGGGATTTCATCTGTCAGTTCGCGGTGTTTGGAAACGATCAGTTGTTGAACAGGGGGGTAATATCATCGCAGTACGCTAGTTTGGATTGTGTGCAATATGCCGCGCACTTGGCCATGATACGTGAACTGTTCATGGGGGATTGGCTCACCTCTCATGTCGATTGGCATATTCCAGGTGCGCCGATGAGAAGCGAGTCAAAGTTCATGCCTTGCGGGTATTCGTCGCTGCGGCTGTGAGTGGGTACCGGCAGTCCAGGATCATCGATGGGAGAGATGACAACTGGGGTGAGATGAGGCGTGCCAGTGGTGAGATGGGGCGAGCAATCAGCCGGGACGGTGGTAGAATTACTGACTGACTGTAACTGACTGACTGACTGACTGAATGAATGACTGATAGGGAGAGGGAGAGGTAGACGGGGAGGGGTTTAAATCCCACCCTTCCCCATGTGCCAATTATGGAGCTTTCCCTCCCCCTTCCCTCGCCGCTCCTTGCTCTTCGCCCCCCCTCCCTCCTTGTTGCTTCGCTGCACGCGGTTTCGCTCTCGCTGCAGAGTGCAAAAGCCTCGCAGGAAATCCCCACCATCAGATGCAGCGGCATGGCGGGTCCCATCGAACACTAGTCAGAGCTCCGAAAAGTTTTGCATATCCTCGCTCTCTCACTCGCACGTAGAATGCGCTCAAGTGCGATCAGTGCAACATTCGGTGGGTGGTGTTCACCTACCAGACGTCGACTCCGAGCCATGAGAGGTGTTTTTTCTTTTCTTCTTCCAGTCTCGATGAAAGCTGGAACTGTGCGTGATTCGTCAGCGAGGTTATTCTTGCTTGAACTAGCGTCAGGAGATTCCTGAATCCCGACCTGTGGCTGGCAGAAAACTTGGTTGTGCATCACATTGAAATCTCCACTCTAACTTAGGCATTTACAGGACGAAGTTTCAGAAATCTCTGCTTCTCATTCCTGATTCGTAGCGATCGTGAACGCTTTCTTTGAATAAAGCGACCCCATATTTTCCATACTGTGCAGCACACGTGAGCTTCTGCTCGTTCAGTGTGCAAGCGCCATGGCAACCTGCGGAGAATCACTGGGGTGAGATTACACCCTCCACATGTCATCGCCAATGGAGGAAAGTAAAAACAAATTGTTTTTTATTTTGAAAAAGATAATAAACATTTGAGTAGTTTGAGTGGACGCCACATGGCGACACATTAAAAGAGTGTAGGGGCTAGTGGATAAGTTTATTGGTTGCTATACCGAAAGCAATCTTTTAAAAAATGATGTAAGACAAATCTGCATTACTAGGAAACAAAAACATTTAAAAGTGTTATGTTTGTGGCTGTTGTGTTACCGAATCCATATCAGCCGACCCTTCCACCCCATTTTAACAATAAATATTTAGAATACCTTGGAGCCATTGTTGCTATTTGACCACACTTAAAAAAACAAAGTTCGGGGCAACTACAAAACTCCCATCTATAACATTGTTTAACACTTGCTGAGCATGACTATAATTTGGTGATGCCGGTCTTTGAGCGGAAGAGCATAATTTCCAGCACGATGCAGAACCGAAGAGGATGTGATTGAGCCTAATTTTATTTCCATTTTGTCATTTCTGTCGCCAAAGTTCAGGGCCAGCGCTTGCCAACTGGCAACATAGTTACGTGAGTAAAGTCGATAACTATCCTTTCCACGTTCTTGTTCTCTATCGATCCCATCTCATCTCCTCTCGTCGCCGCAGTGAATTCTGAGTTGTTTTTTATCTTGTCAGATTGAGACTATGCCTCCACAAGAGTTTCGGTTCGTCATAATGCACACACCACATTACAGGGAGATGGAGAAACAACAAATTCTGGATTTAATGCCAGGCCCATCATATCATATTCTCTTCCTTCAATGCCTCAACCTTATGACCAGTCAGTACCACATCCACTCGCTGCAGTGGTAATTCTGCTTAAGTGGATGGCCTTTCATATTCGTTTCATATATATATATATATTTATATATCATAATAATAGTAATAATTTTTGCATCATTATGGGATTCTGGAGAAAATAATGGAGGTCTGTCTGTCAGGCTTGGATTCGAAGGCTTCGATGAGTATTAAGTGGAGGTGTGGATCATGTTTTCTGCGGGGTTGCAAGGATGGACCCTGTGGATGCGATATTATTTTGAGTTTTATTTTTATTTTTGATTGCTGAAACTAAAATGTGGAGACTGTTCTCCTGAAAATAAGGTATCGGCCAACCGTAAGAATTAGGAGAAGAACGACCTGACATGAAAACAGTGAAAATCAATCAGAGAATGAAAGGAAAAACTTCCGTCTACTGAAGGATATCTTTGCGTAGGTGAACATTTGAACACCGATCTTTTTCTCCCTTATTTTTCCCTCTCGCGTTCTCATACTTCTTCCCTCGGTGCTTGCGACTTGCTTCTTCATGTGCACTGTTCGTATCCTACTTCTCTCGCTGCTGCCATGCAACTCTATCGCTTGACCTTGGTTCAATCCGAGGACGAAGAGCTACAATGTTTGGTGTCTCTGAAGCGTTGGAAGATATCGTGTGTCACTGGAAACAGTCCCCGCAAGACATAGACGGAGGTGGGTGTTCGCTTACTCACTGATACGTTTCGGAGAAATGAGGTAGCTGCGTGCAGTTCTTCGAGCGGCGGAATAGGGGTGCGCATTTAACCATAGTTTTCGGGTCGTCGCGGAGTGTGTGGTCACAGATCCTAGTTTTGAATGGATCGTTTAGGACAGTATAGGTAGAGATCTGCAAAAGGGCGGAGTTTGCTGGTTTGGCGCGATTCTGGGAACGTGATGGAGTTTGACGAAGTCGTTTCTATGGCTCAGCACTAAACTAGATAAGGGATGAAGACAGACGTGGCTGTGTATTTGAACTTCATTGGTATTTGCAAAGCACTCGTATTTTCTATGATGCCATTGATGGTGGGGGTGGGAGTTATGGATCATATTCGTATTGGAGATTGAGACGAAAAGTGCACGAGGTGTGGTTTCATTCTTTGTTGAGCTGCTAGTAGGGGCAAGCTGCTTCAAGCGATCTCATTCTCATGTTTTCCTTCCCATTTGTCAGCCAGATCCAGATCTTCGAGTGCAGTAACTCCGTGATATCTTGTCCTGACTGGAATGCCAGTAGAAGCTCTTAATTTTTTTGCGTATTTCTTCTTTCTGGTTGCTCATATTGGGACATATCGTATTGCTTGACCACTATCACTCGCTCACCAAAACAATTCAAACGTCAACCGAACAATGTTATCTTTTCTTCAAAGAAATGTAGAAGTCTAATAGGGTGGTTCACATCAGCCACAGTCCCCCACCTTCGGTATCTCAGTTTCTTTATACTTTTCCGTGCCAATGAACTGTCTGTTTGGCCTGAAATGTAGACGAACTAGTGAATTTATCAACAGTAGACGGTGGGCATCTAGCTATGTAATGCGATGGTTACAAAGCACTAACCAAACAACTTGTGCGTCCCGGCTCTGAAGACGTCAGACGTGTGTCTGAATATCTTATTCTTATTGTGTACTACGCTGTCTATCCGTCGACACGAAAGTCTTTTTCAAATGCAGTTGTAGCTGACTCTGGCTTTAACATAAAGAATCACAACAGCGCCCTTCTTCTGCTCCCCTTTAGAGTTGTTCAAACTGGATCAATATTCACTATCGAGTAGAGGAATGATTGGTTACCATGTTCCGCCCGCTTGTGTGAGTGACTCTATCATCCCAGGTATTCTTGAGGAATATGTTGAATGCGAAATGTCACACCCACAATTGCAATGCATTATATCGTTCCTGTTGTCTTTCTGCAGGATCAACGACAAATGAGCTTTAGGCGATACAAGAAGTTTGCTACCGTGCTTCAGAGAGTCCTCTGTCTCCAGAATCTGTGCTGAATGTGGTTGTCAGGAAGGAGGACTGTAGAGGTCCAACTAGCGATTCTGAACTGCTCACAGATACCCGGTGACGACATGCAATACACAACTACCTCTCTAACTATCAGATACCGTTTTGCTAGACATCAACTGCTCCTCCACATTCTCTCATTAGGGTAACGTTCATAGTGTTCGACATATCAAGCAACAGGGGCAGCTATTAAAACTCCATGCCCGGGGGTGTCCTCGTGGCTACCTCAGAAGTGTCCGGGATGGATCGGCTGGCACACATCTGATGAACATTCTGGACTTCGATTCCTGTTTGCCGCCCAATCATCGCGTTTAACAAGAATCTGTAAGTGTTTTTGTTTCCCCCGATCTCTGTCGATATTTCTCTTTCTAATGAGCCAGACTTCACTTTCGGGTATCTGATAGCAGTCATTAGAGAGCCATCCTTCCCATGATGATCGAGCCGTAGAGGACAAGTCGCGATTATCCGCAGTCAACTTCCCTGTCTGCACAAAATTCCTTGCAACCTTTTTGATGTCAGAGTCTACAGTACAGACACCTGCATTTGAATAATTTAGTGACAAAATAGAATTTCGTCACCCTGATGGAGAGTACCTTCGCTAATTAATGCGTGAAAGTTGAAGTAGAGGAGATAATAATACCCATTTCGAATCGCAAGGTTTCAATAGTAGTAAGGTCATGTCACAGATTGGGGTCATCCGTGGAACCGCGCCTGGTTAGAACTGTAGCAAATTTGAATTGATTTTCGAGCAGAACATCAGTCTGAGTTGGATTTGAGAACCATTTCTTAATCGTTCAGACGATGGGCACCGCATTGGTAAGCCTTGAGCCTCTTAACCCATGGTAGATTTTGCTTACTTGGAACAACTGATGGGTTGAGGCACAAGCAGATTTAGCCTTCTTCAAATTAACTAGGATTACTACAGTTCTACGCATTGATCTTTCTGTGAACCTCATCTTCTCTGCACAGCTTATTCTAAGTTTTTTTTTTTTTTCATCGTCAACCACTGTCTCGCTGACGATTCCTACGTTCTCGTCTCTTCTTTTCAGTATTTTGGTTGGCCCGGGGATTGCTTCTATTCAGACAAGCTCATCGGGTTTGTTACTACGTAGAGTTATTTTAAGTAGGTTTTACTCGCTGGGCTTCTGCGAATTTAAAGCATCAGAGTGAGCGAATGGCTACTCAAGCTAGTCCGACAGAGGGACATGCTGTGGACTGGTCGTTCCCGATGAGTTCATCTCATCTGCCGCCGAAGAGCCCAGGTTCATTTCCAAATTTTGGAGCAGGGCCATTGGATCCAAGTGCTGCAGCCCGCACCAGTATGCCGAGCAGAGTTGGAAACCACAAGCGCACTCCGTCAGCTGGATATGTTCCCCAAGTAAGGACCCATTGTACATGACCGAATTCGTTATCTGCTAATGTCTAACACGGGAGAGCCTCGAATATTAGGTTGCACTCCTCGCGGTAAATTCGATGTGGTGAGGAAGTTTTCAGTGGATTTCCTAACAGTGTTGCTACATCTGGAAGTGTGAGCTATTGTGCTTGTATTTGTTTATTGCCGAAGTGTTTGTTGTGTTGCTGTGATGGTGCCATGTCAAAATGTTGGCTTTTAGAAGAGACTTAATGTCTATCTGGTTCTGGTCTGTTGTCTGTAGACGCAAGCTACTAGGATGGAAGGGATAGTGGATGCGGCTGACTCTGGTCTCTTTAAAAGAGGTGCGCATCGGCGATCCGCAAGTGAATCCATGGCACTTATGGATGGCATCAACTTTGCCAAGATGGTAGATGATAATCTCACAGAGGATGATGACTTTGAGTCTAGAAGTGTGGCTTCAATGCATTCAGGCGGTCACTCCGGAAGTGGTTCCATTGACTTTGATAGGTAACTGAGGATTGGATCTGTTGGTTTTCTTGCGTTTGTGTGTGTCTACTACACATAAGTGTTGCGCGTGGAATCTATGCCCGATTTTTGCCGAGCTAGGGGAGCTATAGGGTCGCAGTCCGAAAGTTCGAGTGATCTTTGGCATAGTTGTCGCCAGCAGTTAGCTCCCTTATCCTTAGTTTCATAACTCAACCAGTGCCTGATACTACGACCTCTGACCACAGCAGCGATGTTGGTCTCTGAAGGATATCGTGTACACAATTATAATGTACTTTTGTTTGATTGGTAGGTTCGATGAAGATCAGCTTTTGTCCATGTTTGGCAATGACAGCGAACCGCATCAAAAGCAACAGCAGCAGCGGCAAGAATCCACCCGTAACAGTTCTGCAAATAATCCAGGTGGTTCCTCTGGCAGTGACACATGGGCATCAGGGAGGGCACATACACCTCCTGGCACCAAGCAGAACGACCCATCTACTCCATCCGACAGCAACAGTGTCAGTGACGTCTCAAATGAGGATCCTAAAGGAGGACTCGAGAAGTACAAGAGTGAACCTGATATCCAGAGTTCTGGAGATCACGAGGGCGCGACGCAAACGTTTTCGAAGGGAGAGTTGCAGCAAGCTTTGGCTGGTCTCGACTCGAGTCTGGATCCAAAACGAGCCAAAAGGTAGAAAGTTCAAGCATCAACGGAACTTTTGTCTGATACGTTTGTTCTGTATTCATCTTCTTATCTCTCCCACTAGGACGTGTATTGTCATCTTCTGGCGGGCATTTGTGCCGAACTAACATCAGCATTTTTATCTTTCTAAGACTGAAAATATTTATGTGGTGTGAAGAATATTGGCTAATCGACAGTCAGCCCAGCGTTCACGAGTGCGAAAGCTGCAGTACATTTCAGAGCTCGAGAGAAGTGTCACTGCCTTACAGGTGCGAATTTTTAATGGCCGACTGCATTGTCAATGTTGCTGATGGAGGCACTATCGCATCTATAAGGTTTCATTTTTTGTGATGTGGAAGCTAGTCCGTGTTGTAAGTGGAATTTTGTCCTGGTCATAATTGTTTTTGTTTCTTCCATGACAGTCTGAAGTCTCCACCATGGCTCCCCAAGTCGCTTTCTTTGAGCATAGGAGAGCTGTTCTCAATGTAGACAACAATACTATGAAACAGAAGATGGCTACTTTGGCGCAGGGTCAGCACTTCAAGGATGGTAAGAGATCTCAGAGTAACTTATTATCACCATGCATGGGGCGGCAAGGAGCTCTCAGTACTCTTTGTCACCACTACTTTCAGAACCACATTCCCATTTCAGCATCATATTGATGTGTTGTTCATTAAGCAGCTGGCTTCCTCTGGATCTTTCCAGTAAACTAGACCTTTGTTTTCCGTCGTTAATGATGGCCTTTTATGATACACACAGATTATATTAGAAACTGTTCATCGTTTATTTCGCGTAATATAAGTTCTAAATGATCACTAACATGGTTTTCGTAACGAACAGCACACAACGAGGCTCTGCAGAAGGAAGTGCAAACGCTTAGGCAACTCTATCACCAAATGCAGCAACAGCGTTTGCAGACGGTATGTGCACATGCTAGTCTCGCATTCACATGACTCTGTGTCCTGTGGTTCTGTTAAGTTCATGTTTCTTTTCGGTACCTCTGAAATTCACGGTTTAGGGGTACATGTGACAGGGTGCACCCACATCTGTCTATGATCTTCAGCACCAGCAATTCAGCAAGCTAGATGTGGGAGCTGCCCATCAAGACGACTCGTCCTTGGCAGCCGTGCCTGACATATTCGCAAGTGGCTTTGGAGTGGGATCCGACATGACAACTTCAGGCAGCACATCACCCACTCACTGTCGCACACGGTCCCTCCCATACAGCCTCAACACCATGGTGGCTTCAACATGGTTAAAAACCACGTCTCCCAAAGTATCTCTCGATACTGGACATAGTCTTATTCCAAAACATTGATTCTTTCTTAGGTAGAAACCATTCTTTGGCTCCCATTCAGAGCTAGATTTTCTGCTCGCGGAGGTCGAGATCTTCATTCTTGTCCATCATGCCGAGAAAATAAGAGGGATTCCAACCTCTAATCACCTGATTCCTGTTCCTGCATTGGGACTTGATCGTGTAACTCTTTCTAGTCCTCCAGACTATTCTTTTGGTGCAAAATCGCCACACAATCACATTTACTGATGACCTTATCTAGTGTTGCCTATGGGGTTGCAGTTTTTTCCTTTCATGATGAATTGTTGCTTTTTTTTGCACACAACCAGAAGTGATTGCCTGGTTTTGCAAATCAAAGCTGGTGTCGAAGCAGTTCCAACATTCTAGCACTTCCATTGTATGATACATTTGTAGAATTGCCCTCTTATTTGCTTTGCTGGCTGATGAACCCATGTTTTTAGATGAGAAAAAAATCATTTTGCATTAATCCTTCTAAATCGTAAAGTGAAATTACGAGACAATTTTTTTTTGTTGTATGGCACACCAAGAATTATGTTATATATCTAACAAAAGATATTTCTGAAATTATACTTTGAGATGTTCCGAATTGATATTCTTATTTTCATTTTTTGTCTTATAATCATACACAGGTTATAATTTGATACGGTTAACGTTTTAAAAATTACCAAATACAGCTGGAAATGGGGTATTTCAAAGTATTATTGTTATTACATTTTTACACATTACATTTTTTCTTTTTAATTGGTAATATATAATATTACATAGAAAATTAAAAAAATTCAAGTTTTATGAAAGATAATTTTTTGAAATAAAACATTTAAAGAAATAGGAAGGAGAGGGAGCTAGGTGCTATGCTAAGGTTTTTGTCTAAAAATCATGTGGAGGTCTGCAATCTTGGCTGCTCTGCAGGGTCATACTCTTGTCATTGTTGTGTAGAGCAATTTGTAGGCATTGTGCATGATTTTATTTTATTTTATTTTTGTTTTATGATGCATTAAAACCACAACCAAGATAATGTCATATGTTGCAAAAGTGAGGTGAAGTTGATGAATCTAGATCAAATTGACAGAACATGTATGGAACAAGATTGAATCTCCTTATAGACTTGGCAAAAGAAAATGAAGTGCTTGCATCCTATAACCTCTACCAAATTCAAGATAGACCTCATTCAATAAAATCTATTTTAGTTGAGTCCCTTCAAAGATTTTGCCAAAAGTTATGTTGGATTATTAATTTAAATTAATCCATGCAAGGTTTTGGTAAATAATTATATTTTATAGGAAGAAATAGCTACATTGTTGTGGACTTTTGTCATTACTTTTTTTATAGGTAAAAGATTAGATAATTCTTGTCTTGAACAATAGAAGGACATGCTTACAAAGTCCATAGATATTTTTTATTTTGCTTAGTAAGAATTTAAGGCAAGATTATTTATATTTAAAAACCACTTTTGAAGAAGACATTTGCCAAATTCTTTTCTTATCACCATATAAATCTAACCTTGGATTGTGCACATTTTTGGCTTGAGATCCACATTTTGATCCTAAAGCTATCTAAAATCCTAAAGATTTTTATTTTATTTTATTTTATTTTTTTATTCATGCTTTTTAAATTCTAACTTAGATTTTGTTGATAGGAATTTTAGAAGAATTTCTTCTTATTACTTCACAAATCACAAAAAGATTGATAAAGTTTTGGATTATAATCTAAAGAGTGATCACTTCTTTAAATTATATTTTTGTATTGCTATAGATTTGGAGGTAGGATGGAAGCTTAAGATCTATATTAAATATCATGTGACTACTATTATGAAGATTGTTTTTATTGACTACTTAAACCTACCTAACAAATGCCACTTTTGCATATCAATTATTGAATCAAGGATTGTGAGCCACAAGACAATAATTTATTGTACCAAAGAAAAATTCAAGACTTGCTTTTAAGCATAGAATTCCAAAATGTTTATGACTAAGATACAATTTTAGATGGTTTGTCATTTACAATATTAAGAGACCATGTCCACAAGACTAATGCTAAATCACAATGTCTTTTTAGTAGCTTTAGAGACATCTTAAAGAGAGCTTGATATAATCTTTAACACAAATTACTAAATTATTAAGTTATACTTTCTTCTATGTAAGAGTTGAAGAACAATCTTAACTTACTAATATTAGAAATTTAAGAAAACAATCAAAAAACTTTTGGCTATAATTTCTTATAAATAGAACCAACAAATTCAAGCAATAAATAGAGCATTATTAAAATCACACAAACCACAGTAGCAAAGATATTTCACTACAAACATGTGGAGATACCAAAACTAACATATAGAAATTTTTTAGATAAAGAAGACTTGAGTATTAATTACCATGAATTATTCATACAAGAACTAATACTTAGAAATGGTTTGACAATTAAAGAAGATAAATTTTTATAATTCCAATATTTTTAGAGTTTCATTTCAAGAGATCCCAATCAAGGCATGGATGTTCTAAAATAAGGTTCTATAGGATCTTAAATAATAGAAAAAATCTTATTAGTTTCTTTTTTATTTATAGTACTAATCTTAATAGTACTAGTGGCTTCATTGTATATTTTAGGAAATAATGAAAACCTCCATACAACATTAAATCTATTCATGCTAAGAGATTTTGATGCATTCTACTCTACAATAGACCTATTGGAACAAGCTAATTCAAACTAGTAATAAATAAGAGATTCATATCCTTTAAAACTTTAATTGATGGCATTGATCTATTCATCAAAATATCTTTTAGATGTAGGTATAGACAAGGTTTTTTTGACAACTAAGAATGAACTAAGTATCAAGTCAAATAATCCATGAATTGAGGTAGTATTGCTTTAGAACTAGGCCATGTTGATTTTAAGGCAATGATAAGAACTAGATCCAAGCATAATTGTTGTCTTATGTCTAGTGACCTAAGTATGTAACAGAATATAGATAAGATAATTATATAGATAGATAGAACTATAGAAGTTTCTAGAATTGGGATTAAGTTAGTGGACTATAAAGGACATATCATGGAACATTCTAGAAATAATTTAGGACAATTATTTAGGTAGGATCCATCATAAAACCTTCTAAAAAAAACTTAGGGTGATTATTTAGGTAGGGTCCATAATAAAACCTTCTAAAAAAAGCTTAGGGTGGTTATTTAGGTAGGACCTATTATAAAACCTTTTAAAAAAGGAATTTAAGGTAGTTATCTAAGTGGTGCCTAGTACCTAAGAACATTTTGGAAAGTCTAGGAAGATAGAACAAGGTATAAATAGGACTGATTAGCGCCTTTTGAGGCATCTAGTTAGATATGGCATTGAATCCTTTCTCTTAATAAAGTTTGGTTTTACATCCTTTTGTTTAGTTCAATTCTATTGTGTTTCTATTTGCTCAGTTTGTCTTTCATGTCCTATTCTATTTAATTTTGTTCAGTTCAGTTCTAGTCTATTTTGTCTTATTTTGTGATGAGGTTTTATGTTGGTATAGAATAGAAAGATCTTGGATTTTTTTGAAATAGTCTAGTCCTGTTTCATTGGTATCAGAGCAAGTATTACATTATTTACTTTTCGTAGTATGTCAATAGTCATTAATTAGTCAAAGGTTAGTTATTGTAGTCATATTAGGTATTATATTGAGGTTATCACAAGATACTCTTAAAAAATCAATTGAAAGGTGAAAAGACATTATAATTATGGAGTCCAATAGAGAAATTATAGTATGAAAGATATGGTGGCGCAATCCTAGATGGAGGCTCAAATACAACACCTCTTAGGCTAGATAGCTACTTTGCAAGGATAGATAGAAGCCTCAAGGATAAGAAAGTTAACATCTGCTAGGTTGAAATTAAATAAGCATAGTACATACTTTGGAACTTCAAGACAAGAACATGTATATCAATGGTTCTTTAACATACGACAATACTTCCAACTATGTGGGACAAATACCACTGAAGGAATTATATATGTAGCTAGCTATTTGAGAGATGCGGCAACCATTTGGTGGCAGCATCAAATTCAAAGCTATGGAGTTTAAGGTGGATTTTGTGACTGGAAGGAGTTTAAAATCAAGTTTAGAAACCAATTTTGGCCCATTAATGTGGAGAAGATAGTATGCAATCAATTAAAAAATCTTACATAAGTTAGTTTAGTACAAGATTATGTCTCTCGATTTAAGTCCCTATATCTCCAAATTAGCAATGTTTTGGAGGTAAAGATAATGGATTGATTCCTATGAGATTTGAAACCTGGAGTTGAGTAAGAGATGGAATTAAAGAATCCACAAACATTTGAAGAGGCGATTCAAATTGTTCAAAAGATTGATGCTATAGATTTCAAAAATTGTGGAATACAACCTATAGCATCAAGTTCTATACTGCTATATAATATTAGGATACAACAACTAATACCAATGGAGATTCATACCCTAAAAGGATCACTGATACTACAAAGTTGACTAATATTGATATAAAAAGGATTTTATTTCTATTATCGAGAGTCAGGCCATTAGATCGAAGGTTGTTTAAAACATCAAAATTCAAGTACCAACAAGACAAGGCGAATTTACAGTATCAAAATTCACCAAGTTAATAATGAGCTAGAGTAAGAAAATAAGGCTTTCTAATAAAGGCACTGGAAGGCTAATACTAGGGATAGCTATTGTCTCTCAGAGATAAATAAAATGACCTCAAATAACTATAAAAAGAATCAACTGATGTATCTAACAAGACTACTAAGAGGACAACTATGTTGAGTGCTTGTAGATTGTGGCTCTATAGAAAATTACATCTCAATTGAAATTGCCAATCAACTTAGAATTAAAATTGAAGAAATCAAGAGAAGAAGTATATACCTTGCAGATGACCAAAAAAATGTATTGAATGAAACATGTGAAGAAGAAACCTTGAGATTGATATACTCCTATGTATTAAAGGAGAGATTCAAGGTGACAAAGCTAAAGTATAATGATACCCTTGGTAGTCCATGACTAGAGATGAAAAATAAGCAAGTTGATTAGATAGCAAGGACAATATCTTTTAAAGATGGAAGATACAAGGTGACTCTTTGTACCTCCACATCAAGTGAAGAGAAAAGACAATCTGGAATCAAAGACTTGTTTGTAGACATGATCTTTATGAAGAAGTAGCTACAACAGGAGCAACCTATATATATAGTGGTTTTAAATCATG